ATGATGTGTGAAAAGTTTTCTGTTCAACTTCAAGACATGTTTTACATTAGCAGTGGTCAAAATACTTTTTTTCAGTGCTCTGCAATATTGCAGAAGAGTCAAAATTTTGTTCTGCAATTTGGAAATACTTTCTGCAAAAACATACTAAAACATACTAATTAAAGACACACAAAAAAAACAGTTACTACTACTCAAGTAGCTGTATATAATTTTGGTGCTACCTAAAACAGTCAGACTATTACGTTTCTCATCAGTGATCAGTGACACTAAAACTGAAGGAGAACTGCAGGTTTATAAGCAAAAACTATTGATTGATATGCAAATCAGTGAAGACATTTTTTGGAAGTCAAAAACGAAACAAAAGATAGACAAGTCAACTAGTATGATGCATATTAGTGAAGAAGCTCCTGTTGTTTCAGAACAGGAGCTCGAGTGTTGTCTGCCCTTGATAGCACCTGAGAGTGCTAGTTTGCTAAATTGAAAACTATTGAATCTGGAGTCTATTCTTCCTTCTGCAAAATTGCAGATTGTATAAATTTTTCTTCTGCAATTTTGAAAATCTATCTGCAGATTGCAGACTGCAGACAGGTATTTCGAACACTGATTAGTCTAAAAGGGATTGGCCACAAGAAGGTTATGTTTTCTGTAGTGTTTGTATTTATATCTGTGTGTTTGTTTGTGTGTGGCTTTCCTAGGTACTAGCCTGTATACTGTTGATTATTTTTCTATTGGCCCAAAAATGTCCCAAAGTGATTTTTAGTTGTCCAGGTCTAAATTTTAGCGATCAGTGGCCATCGGACCACTGTTACTTTCGAGCCCTGCAAGAAAACTTGTTTTCAGCTTAGTTAGTAGTACATGGAATATTGCAAGTTCTGCATTTTAAAATATTCTGAACTAGAGGTCGGAGATCTCATGTCTTCGTCAAAGGGACATCGTTCTAGAGAAATTAACATGCGTATTCTTCACTCTTTTTAATAATCAATTTGGTCTAAAGACCAAAAGAATCTCTGTACTATTTTTATGGTACAGAACACCCTGAAACGGTTTGCCGCAGATTATACAGATGCGTCGTCACCCGTGTTAGCCCCCCCCCCCTACGTTGAGTTTGGACTGTTACCGGAAAAAAAACGTTCAAGAAATTCTTACTGTGTTGAAAGTGTCAGGACAGCGCCGCAAAATATAATAAGAGAAGATGTTATAAAGGAAAGAATCAGAACAGGGTGACTACTGCTGTTTTGTTAATTTGTCTTTATGACAAATAGAAGACTTGTTTCTTGTGTTCTTTGTGTCCTAACATTTGTACTTCTATAGTTAGTATATTCCAAATCTAGGCACCTCGTTTTCGGCCCTTCGTGTTTTTATTGCGCGCTTGCCTTAAATTTAAGGTAATTAGATTTAAGGTCTCCAGTGGACGTCATCCATAGCATGCGCAATTACTTGGTGTGGCCGTAGAAATTAACCTGACATATGTCCAACCTATCCTCCCCCTGCTGAAGTTATAGTACAATCCCTCAATGTAACGTCATTTGATCCCATCCCATAATGGGGTTCCCCGGCTATATCCAGCTGTCGGCTGTCTCCAAGCAGATGTAGGTGGGGGATTTCTAAACACAAAAGGTCCTATTACGGGGACATAACGACCTCCACGACTCTCATCTTTGAACTCAATCTTGGAGACCACGACAGTAATATGCCTATCAAATTTCATTAACTTCCATCCACACATACAAAAGTTATCCTGCTCACAAGAAAAATTAACAAAATGCCCCCTGTAGTCACAACGAAACCCCCCACGAAGCTCAGTAACGAACTTAACCTTGGTCCTAACAATAGTAACCACACCAAGAATTATAATCAACATTTTACAAATACTTGAGTTATCTTGCTAACAAGCCACAAACACAAAAGGTGCACTAACGTGACGCACGGACCCCCCACGAAGCCAAAACTTGTACTTGACTTTGGCCTCAACAGCGGTAATATGCCTGCCAAAAATCATGGACGTCGAATCATGCCTTCCAGAGTTATATCGCAGAATCCGCAGTTCCCCAAACTCCGGCGAGACAATTTCATAGTCCTTCTGACGAAGACAACAATCAACATGCAATTGTACAATGTTGAACATATCAGTGTTCCCTTTCAACTGTGGAATAATGGCAAGTTGCTAAAGTAATGTGCCACGTTGTTATCACAGACCCGCTATTCTCAGTTTAACATTGTACTAGCGGGGTGATTCTTTCCTATTTTCCTGGATGATTTTTCTCAAGTCTTTGTTAAAATTCATCCGGCACGTAAATTATATTTTCCAGGTGCACCAATATGTAAAAATCATAAGAAGATGCATATTGTTGGATACTGATGTTTCTTGGTGCATACATGTATATCTTAAGAGAAGACTCAGGCCTGAGAAGACTGAAGTATAATTAACTTGCATGTAACTGAATTTAGTATGTTGATTCTGAATGAGAGTTTCTGATGTTCCTCAGGGTTCTGCAGCCCCCCGGCGGCTCCTCTAGCGGCATCTTCGGTGGCCCAGCTGGTGACGCCCAGACTGCCCCTTCCCAGAAGCCCACCAGCGCGCGGTCAGCCTCGAACATCTTTGGGCCCGCGGAGACGGAGTCCCCGTCCAGGAGAGTCAACACCCGCATGCAGTCGG